TGCTTCTGCGATGCGCGTGTCTAAATCCTGTAATCAAGCCGTGGGCAACAAGAAGCCTCCAACCTTGCCCGCTCCTAAAGAGGCTTTCCCTGGATTCCGGGTTAAAAAGGGGCGATCAAAAAATAACCTTACCTGCAACCCGAATTACCTGCTGTTTTCGTGGATTATGCCTACGTACGAATTACGGGGTAATTACCTTTAAACTGTAAGTAGCTGGAAATAGAGGTAAACCCTGAACTCTACATGCCTTGGGAAGAAAGAGGCCGCCTTCCGTCGGTGCTGCTCCAAAGCAACGCGCCCAGTGAGCATTGTGCCAGTCTGTACAGATGTGGTAGTTCCCCAAAATTAGAGGTGCCTTTTGAGGGGTCCCAATAACAAGGATATTTTGGGGTCTAAGTTGGGGTCNNTGGGGTCCCCTTATTCTGGGAAAGTTCCATTTGGAGGGGCTGCCAAGATGGTGGTTTCTTTTCTGAAGATCAGGGGCTGCATTGCACCAGGGTCCTAAAAAGAGACCATAACGGCATATGATATGTTATGGCCGTGCAGATCTGGCGGAGGTGGATGATAAAGTACTAGAAGCATCTATCTTAAGTTCAGGGGAAAAGTCTGAGGCCTCGAAACCTGACTTCAGCATTTCCCAAACTTTTTTGGAGGTCTTTGCACCCTAGGCCTTTTGCTTCGTGACATGTTATGGCGGTTGCTCCGTGCTTAGCTATGTGTCACATTAGGGACGCTCAACTTAAAACCCTCAAGTGCTGGAGTCCTTCCTTCATGGAAGGATCCCTTGTGGAGATTCCGAAAATAGGGACTCCCAACAATGTTGCCCTCATTCTCTTGAGATCCCCAAGACAAGACAGTAGTCCCTGTAGCATACTCGAGCAGTCCCCACCCAATCCTGCTTTTCAAAGGCCGCCAGCGGTAGCGCCGAAGCCACAGCCTCAGCCAGATTCAGGCACATCCGCTTTGCTCATTGATGGTTAGTAGGGGATTCAGGAGTATGGGTCATAGGGCCCCTTGAAAGCGATTACACTGACGACCAGTAAGTCTGTTATGCTGTGGCATGTAATGCGTGCTGAGTCACGGTCTACCCATGCATCTTCGTGTTGCTTCATTCTGAAAGTCACAGAGTTCCAGAGCGCCATGCCAGAGAATGCCGCAGCTACTTGACCCGCAGTGTGAGCAGCCCGTTCTCCCCGCCTCTCTCACGCTGATTTTTCGAAGATGCCCGGCGCAAAGCCTCGTTGCCTTCTAATCGGTGCCTTGCCTTGAGTCACGGAGTTTATCGAGCCAATCCCTCTTCACCTTTGTGGTGGACTTTGGGGTAACTCTAAACTGGACACCAAGGTGGCCAGTTCACAGGCAACTTCTGCGCAAGGGAGCTGAAGAAGCAGTTCTATGTCACGGTGGTTGATGCCAAGGAGAAGCTAGGGCTTAGGAACCAGGCAGGCGAGTGTGACATGATGTTGGAAAGACAAACTGCTGTGGCTGCAGCTTGTTTGGATCCGTTTTTCTAGGGCCCCAAAACCAAAACA